GCCCCCCCCCCCAGGCCCGGATCGCGCAGCTCAGGCTGTTAAATCCTGCCCTGATCCGTCTCAGGATGGACGGAGCCATTTTTGGCAGCAGGTGGAATTAAGGGATCCGGAGAGGCTGAGCCCAGGGCAACGGGAGAGGAATCACAGGCAGGGGCGTGCAAAGGCTGCACCCCATCCAGGACGTTGGGGGGGGGACACAGGGGGGTTTTTTCCCTGGTGGGAGCAGGAATGGTCTGCAGCCCACGAGGAACCTGAAGCGAAGCTGTGAGCATCCCCAGGTGAGGCTGCGTGCCCCCACTGGGGGCTTTGGGGAGGGATGGGAGGCTGAAGGGAGCTGCAAGGAATTCCTTCGTGCTCCGCCGTGCGCAGCTGAGGTCACTTCTGGGCTCGGGAGCTGAGCAGCAAAAGGTTGAAGTGCAGCCTGGTGGCCCCACGCGGTGCTGCAGGTTCCTGGGCTGCTGCTCTGGGAACTGGGGGTGCAGAGCTGCCCTATAGCTGCCCTATAGCTGCCATGGGTGCAGCTCTGCCCTATAGGTGCCCTATAGCTGCTGGGGGTGCAGCTTTGTTTGCTGCCCTATAGCTGCCCTATAGCTGCTGGGGGTGCAGCTCTGCCCTATAGCTGCCCTATAGCTGCTGGGGGTGCAGCTCTGCCCTATAGCTGCCCTATAGCTGCCCTATAGCTGCCCTATAGCTGCCGTGGGTGCAGCTCTGCCCTATAGCTGCCCTATAGCTGCCCTATAGCTGCCCTGTAGCTGCTGGGGGTGCAGCTCTGCCCTATGGCTGCCCTATGGCTGCTGGGGGTGCAGCTCTGCCCTATAGCTGCCCTATAGCTGCCCTATAGCTACCATGGGTGCAGCTCTGCCCTATGGCTGCCCTATAGCTGCTGGGGGTGCAGCTCTGTTTGCTGCCCTATAGCTGCCCTATAGCTGCCGTGGGTGCAGCTCTGCCCTATGGCTGCCCTATGGCTGCTGGGGCTGCAGGGAGCAGCTCCGTTCACCCCATAGCTGCTGTAAGTGCAGCTCTGCCCTATAGCTGCCCCCAGAAGGGGCTTTGCTGCCCCACACAGGGCCGCTATGGGGTTGGGTTTTTGCCCCATTCCCTGCCCGTCTTGTGCTCCCGATTCCCACACTGGGGTCAGTTTGGGACCGTGAGCCCCCACCCCACACTGTGCCCATACAGCCGGCACTGAGCCCAGGACCCCTGCAGCCCCGATGACCGATGAGCGCAGCGGAGCAGGGAGCGCTGCAGCCCCCGAGCCTGAGCTGCACTACGAGGATGAGGAGGATGAAGACGATTCCAGCGCCGGCTTGGAGCCCTCGGACAGCAGCAGCATCTGCTCTGATGATTCAGTCTTTCCCTCCTCGGAGCCCCCACGCGGGGTTGGGGGGTCTGGGGAGCTGAGTTTGTATCAGTGCTGCGTGCGCAACGATGCCCAGCTGCTGCGGGAACGGCTGCGGTGTGGGGTGGGCAGAGGGGAGGCCACAGAGCTGGACATCAATGGCAGGGTGAGTGGGGGGGAGGGGGGGGTTCTGGGGGGGTCCTGGAGGATGCTGAAGGAGGAGGGGTGGGATCCCAGAGCCGTGGGGGGGGGGGGG